GCTTTTCAATGGCTTGTTAATTAACTTTCATCCAAGGCATTGTAGACCTCAAAAGAGATTCCATGTTTTTGTGTTATTAGGTCTCAAAGTCTGATAGTCTGTTTTCACGATTACAATTAGCTAGGGTTTTTTCCTTTTTAATTTTTTTAATTTTTAATTTTCCATATTTTAATTTTTTAAGTTTTCTTTTATTATTAATATTAGTTTTTTTTTTCTTTCAAATATCATTAATATTAGTTAAAATCCACATAAGCATCCATGCCATTTAATGAATAGATAAGATGACACACCCCGATCGAGATCAAGACATGCTGGCCGTCACGTGAGAGTGACGTAGCCAAGTGCACAATGCGGAAGCAATAATGATAAGAAATATATGAATAATTTAAAACCGAACTACTAGAGTGCACTACTAAATAGGAAGTGTTAGGAGTAAGATACAGACGTAAACACTCCTAATCAGAGTATAGAAAGTCTAGCTGCGGTCCAGTAGGACAAGTATTAGTTATATAGTACCATAAGATGCCCTACAAATATTTAGATATGTTAGAACCACCGAAGTCCTCAAAACCACGAACAGCAAGCTTACCTAGAACCTGGAGGGGCGCAAAACAGAAAACGTGAGTGGGCAAAAATAAATGTTTTACAAAACCATTTCATTTATCAACATATCTAACCCCTCGCAATAAAACATGTATAATTTTTTCCCAGAATCAAGATATAAGCATATACATAAATATATATGTAAATATATCACTTCAAATCATGCTTCACATAATCATAATTATATGTATGTCATGCTAAGATATAACAGAGTAAGCAGTTCATGTAAGGATAATTTCATAGAAATCTAACATGTTATCCGGAACCTCTGTGGTAGTCTGTATTGCTGAATTCATAGCTCAAAAGTCAATCTAGCCGGAGTCACTACAATGACCTATACGGCAATATACTGCACAAGAGTCGGAACCAAATGAAAAGGTATGTACGACAATAATGGGTGTAATATAATTATGCTTAATACTACTCTCACATAATAGCTGGGCGATAAATCACTAGTCACTTACGAGTCGGAACCATAAATAAGGTCTGTACGACAAGATTGTGCACCTAAATTGGATCCAATATGAGCATGTAGTGCGGGAGGTGACATAATAAACAGGCATGTGCCATATCTCTGGCTAATTCATAATCACCATAGGTGTAGTTTTATGAGCTTAACATTATTCAATCACATATCACATCATCGATGATTCACATAACTAAACATAACTTACTTGAGCTTACTTGAGCGTCTACAACACCACATTTATATATATAAAGCATTACATACCAATTCATATATGAATTATAAACTTATATGCATGGCATGTATGGCATACTAACATTTAAACACATATTTTTGGGAAAATATCTAGTATATAAATATATACTGAAAACCAAAAGCCCACTCACTGGTATGTCGAAGGGTCGTAGCCCCTGAGTCGCCCTTGGATACGTTCGTCCTTAAGATAAGTCTTACCTATATGTGAATTAACTATAAAAACGTTATTTTAGAGCATATAGACAAAACTAGCTAATAATTTCTCATACAATGCTCAATTTGGGTATATGAATATACCAACATGATCTACACAACTCCACGAACATCCCTATATTTTTAGAATATTTTTCTGACCTCTCACGCTCCTGCAAGGGTACAGCCCTACGCGCCCCCACTGGACATGCACACTAACGACGTCAGTCAACGCCTTCAGGAATATTCTGTTAAAACCTAACAGATTATGTTAAACTTAACCAACGCTATTGGAATATTCCGTCCGACTAACGGAATATTCTGTTTTCGTCTACCTGTGAACTCTAACGACTGTCGTTGTCGCTGGAAAACTGGGAAAACTTCTAACCTTCTATTCTCACTCATTTTTCAACCATTTTCTTCGAAATTTGAACCAAATGAAAGCTTAAAGTGAGAAGAATGACGTTATACATATTTGAAGCTTCAAAGATCACGAAATCATGTCGGGGAAGCTTCGAAATTCCGACCAAACTTGCAACTTATCGTTTCTCACGATCCAGACGTCCAAAATTTTCAAATGAACTACCCTGAGCCTCCTTAGGACCTCCTAAAGCTTCCTACAAGCTTGAAATCCCCTAAAAATTGAAGAATAAAAGTTGCATGAACAATGCATGGAAATTGGCTTTGTGGTTCTACGTGAAATCGAAGGTAGTCTTACCTAAATTTGGTACCTTTGAACTCGCGAGGACCTTAAGAACACAATGGTACCATTTTCTTCCTCGATCTGTGAGGTTTGAGAGGTCCTTGATGTTTGTCTGTACAAGAAGAAAGAGAGAGAGAGAGGGGGGAACAGGAAGGAGAGAGAGAAGGTAGGTGTGCGTGTGTGGTCCAAAAGCCACCAATCAAAACTAAGAAAAATCTTAGTTCTAATTGGGTCACCAATCCAAAACAATTTAACCCAATAATAACTCACACACATCATTTAACGTCCGAGGGCAATTCCATCGTTCCTCGTCATCGAGAATAAAGTAATACACATCTCCGGGACGGGCTGTGACATAAGAACCTTTGGATGTTATAAAATCTAAAGGCTACAAAGAAGTGTAAAATATTTGTAAAACGATTTGTCCCTTGATCTTATCCTATATATATATATATCTTCTTATATATAAAGCCAACAAGAGCCCATGAATAGTGTTTTTTAGTGTCACAAGCTTCACAAAAAATAATTGGACAAAAATGCCCCTCAACAAAAAAAAGTCAAAAGCAACCCAACATAATGCATCAAATATAGCAGGGGTATTTTTGTCATTTTAATAGTATTTTTTTAATAATTAATTTTTGTACTTTTTTTAATAATTAGTACCTCACAATGAATTAGACAAAAATACCCCTCAAACAAAAAACTTCAAAAGCAACCCAAAATAACGCATCAATATGTAATTCAATTAGTTGTTCATTAAATATTATTTCCTCTATTTTTAAACACGTTCAAAACATCTTAAGAGGCGTGTAATGCCGGTTATAAAAAATGTCTTTCGCACGAGGATAATAATCTGATTCAATTAATTGTCTTTTTTTTTAACAAACGATATTATCTACACTAAGGGAGAGGGAGGTAGGCTTTGTGAGTTGTTTATTAAATATAATTTTCTCTATTTTGAATGTAAATTCAATTGAGACCAATTTTATTATGTGGATTCAGCTGCTTTAATTAGTTTACAAGGAGTTTTTTTCTAGCATGATCTAAAATTATTTATTTACTTCAAATGATGGTTAGTTTCAACACTAAAAGCAAGTCCACCGGAGGCCTAATGTGCCAGCACCCAGTCAAAAAACCAGGCTGGGGTTCAGTCAATCCACTCTAGCCCAGTAGATTGGCTGGCACCCAGCCTAAGCCAGTCCACAGACCGAGGCAAAATGTGCTAAGCTAGAGACCAGCCTACATGACGTCAGGCTAACGTCATGGTCATCAAATCGGTGAGATGAAAACGACCGCCTGAGCGTGCCCATTACCTCCGTCTCTCGGGGCAAGGTGTCAATTTCTTCCACAACCCAAAAACGCACAATTTGATACCAACAACAACAACAACAACAAATCCCAACACCCAAAACCCAAGATTTACATAATTTGTAGGAAAAATCACAGGGAAAAAAATAAAAAAGAAGAAAAAGGGATTGGAAGAAGAATATCGAAAAGGAAGGGCGTGAGAGAGAAAGAGAGAGCCTTAGCGAGAATGATTGGCCATGCAGTAGTTTGGAGCCAAATGATTCAAGTCGGGACCGAGGACGCGAAGATTCTCAATCTCAAAGATAACGACGGCGAAGACGACGAAATTGAAGAACAAGGATGCCGATATGGTGTGGGATTCCCAATCGATTTTGTGGCCAGAGGAGAAGGAATTGGGGTTGGATTGGGAGAGGGCTTGGCGGTGGAGGAGAAACCTGAAAAAACCAAACCCTACAAGGAAGCAGGAGGAATAGTTGATTTGATGATCGGATCGACAGAAATTAAAAATAAAAATATTATTTTTTATTATTTTATAAAATAATATTTTAATAAAATTGACTAGGCTATTTTTTTAGGAGTGGAGATGTCTTGGCCTATTACTATTCATTGAAGTCTATTACTGTTCAATGAATTGGATAAATGGGTTGAGTGCTGTTACAATGTCCTCAGGTGGACTTGCTCTAAAGCAGCACAATGTGTAATATTACAATATAAAATTCAACTATATGGCGTGCATGATGTCTAGTTTCAACACTAAAGCAGCACAATGTCCCTATTAATATACTATTCAACTAATGTGATCAAAGTCTTGGTCAACTAATATACTATTCAACTAATGTGATCAAAGTCTTGGTCAACTTCAGGTGGGAAATGAAAAAAGTGGTCCATTTGAGCAGGCAACTTGGACAAAATATATCATATATGTAGACATGGTCAATATATGACTAAAATTTAAAGATGCGTTTGTTGTACTGAATTATCTTAGATAGGATTAGTTTTAGGAATTAAGCTGGACTAGTTTAGTATAAACTAAGCGGAATTAATTTAATGAAGTGTTTGGTGCATTATCAGACTAATAAGTGGAACTCAATTATTATATTATTTAGTATATATCTATTGTTATTTTATGAGTACAGATCCTTTCCGAATCTATCACACCGGAGCCCGGAGATCAAGTGATCCCGACCCTCTAAATTTCATTCAACGGCTAAAAGAAGAGAAGCTTTTAAAAAGCACAAGAATTCCTGGCCGTTAGATGAAATTTCGAAGGTCGGAATCACTTGATCCTTGAGCTTCGGTGAGTTAGATCTGTTTCATTATTTTATTATTAATTTAATATATATATTAATTTTTTATTTTTGGATCAAAATATATTAATATTTTATTGTTACTTTCTTTTTCTAGTTTTTTCTGGAACCATCTTGCTGCTATAGCCTTCGTATATTTATCCGCCCGGAGTCTTGCTCTTCTTTTCTACCTGTTTTCTTCCTTTTTTTTTTTATTTCTTTCTCTGTACCACTGTCTTCCTCCTATTCATTTTTCTCCCGACTCACTTCAAATTACTCTAGCCTTCTTCTTTTTCTTCGAATTATGAAACGTTGTATTTATTTTGTTTCACCTGAAACGGCTTGGCGCGGGAGCTACGGGATAGCGGAGGGATCTGAAATCGTGGAGATTGTTTTTGGATTCTAAGTTCTTGAGGTCGAGATCGTTATCTTTGTTTTCTGGGTCTGATTTGAGTTCAATTGACGAAAATGGAGAAGTATTGGCCAGTCGGAATATAAGTGTGGCCGTTTAAGATCCCGCCGTCGAGGAGAGCAAGTTCTGCACATGTACAATATGAAGATGAAGTTGATGACGAGGATACTATTACTCTGCTTCCTCAGCTGCTTCTGGTTTCAGCTGTCCTTTGCTCAAAATGCTACCACTGATCCATCTGAAGGTTCTCTCCCTCTCTCCCCCTTACACATACGCACTTTGCCACATTTAAGTGTTTTTGACCAGGAACTGGGCTTTTTTCCCTCAACAAAATGACGTTTTAAGTGTTTTTCGACTATGAAATGAAGTTTCGAGGAACTTATTTGCAAAGCCTTTTTTCTTCCCACATACAAAACATCCAAATGAAGGGTAATTTTCCTTTGTAACAATGAATTTGTTCTCTCATTTGATTCGAAATAGTCTGGTAAGTGGTAACACAAGTCAAATTATGGTGTGATATACTCTAGTACACACAAGGACTGAATTAACTGAGAGTGCAGTGAGGGCGTTGAACTCAATATTTGAACAATGGGACACACAACCGGTGCCGGGGCTGTGGAATATCAGTGGAGAACCCTGCAGTGGATCTGCCATCAACGGCAACGACTTTGATAGCCCCGATAACAACCCAGCCATCGTTTGCGACTGTTCTTACAACAACAATGCTACATGCCACATCACCAAACTGTATGTTAAACTACTCTCTTTATGAACAAGATTTCTATGCCAATGCTGATTTTTCGCTAGCTGTAACTATATATATATATATATATTACTCAATAATTTGACTCTGCCACTCCATTTTATAAAGTTCTAAGTGTCCAATCTTTTTGCTTTCCAGGAGAGTGCAAGCTCTGTACAGACGAGGGGTGTTTCCAGAAGAACTTTTGGCTCTAAGATATCTCGCAGTTTTGTATGAATTTTTTCCAACTCCCTTCTCTGTTTTTGGTTCATCAAAATTATCAATTGGAAATTAACACTATGGTGATGTCATAAGATTAAGAGTTAATGATTACATTTCATTTCAATTTTTGTAGGAAAATCGATATGAATTATTTCAAAGGTCACCTACCGGCATTCATTGGCAAAATGTCTGCATTGATTGTATTGTAAGTCGTGGGAGAAAATTTGTTTAAGTACTCATACTTCTGATGACACTCGTCGCAATTTGTATACTTATTTTGAATTATCATAGTCTACAGATATGTTCTTTACCCCTTTTCTTTATTATTTACATCGTAATCTACACAAAACCATTATGTTTTTATTAAATAATGCAGTACTAGTTTCTTGTTATGTAATGGTGCTTATCTTTAGTTCAATGATATCTCCATTCAGGTCAATTGGCCACAATTCATTCTCTGGGCCCATCCCCAAGGAGATTGGAAACCTTAAGGAGCTAAATATGCTGTAAGCCATGAAAAATGAGAAAGCGTACAGTAAAATTTTGTGTCATAAACATTAGATACAGAACCTTCTATCACTCTTCAATAATTGCTTTCAAGTAATTGTTTGCCTGTTCAACATGACTTGCAGGGCCATCGGAACAAATAATTTTTCCGGAACACTCCCTCCAGAACTTGGTAATTTAGTCAAGCTACAGCAAATGTAAGTGGTTCGTTAAATCATCAAATTTGAATTACATGTTAGTTCCTTATGCATAAGAAAAAATTGCACCTTATCGTATAAAATGGGTATTAATCAGTTGCCTTATGATTTTCACAGTTACATGGACAGCTGTGGACTCAGTGGTGAAATTCCTTCAACATTTGCCAAGCTCACCAGTACGCAAGTCTTGTAAGAACGGCTCTTAAATTGTATTTTAGATTTGTTCATTTATCTAGTACTTTGAGATTGCTTTTCTTGGATGAGCTTATTATAAGTCAACTTTTTGAATTTTAGTTGGGTATCGGACAGTCCTTTCTCAGGAAAGATACCTGATTTCATAGGGAATTGGACACAACTCACTTCTTTGTAAGCTCAGAAAATTTTGATCTTATGCAGTTTATGAAAGCAGACCTGAGATGGATAATTTGTTCACAAGCTTCTTATATGTTTCTGTAGGCGATTTCAAGGGAACTCTTTCGAAGGCCCAATACCAACCAGCTTTTCTCAACTGACCTCATTGAAGTCTCTGTAAGTACAAATGTTTCATAAATTGTAATTCTCTCTCTTTCTCCGAAGACGGGATTTTAGTTATTTTGCATATAATGATGTAGGCAAATCAGTGATATATACCATGGGAGGAGCTCCTCTCTTGATTTCATAAAAAAAATGAAGAACTTGACTGATTTGTAAGTGAAGATTCTTGTTGATCCATATACTTTCATCCAACCTTTTCCTTTTGAATTTTGATATCTTACTCCATCTACTTTTTATCAAATTTTATGTGAATAACAGAAAACTACGAAACGCATTAATCACTGGTACCATCCCTTCTGATATTGGAGAATATCAAAGTCTTAAGATACTGTACGTACCAATAAACTTGAGTCCCAACGTTAGTTTTCTTTCATTCTGATTGCTCCTCTCAACTTATCTTTTGTGTTACAGGGATCTGAGTTTCAACAATTTGACAGGCCAACTCCCAAGTTCTTTGTTCAGCATGAGTTCTCTTACATCCTTGTAATCCCTGTCCTTATTATTATATTTTGCCTGCCTTATCATGCATAAGTTATCAAATCTTTAACATTCCCTACTTTGATTGAAGATCTGGACTAATCCTTCTAGATTTGTGCACATCTGACCTTTTTCTTGCTCATCTCTTTTTCTTTTCTGGGTGCCTTCTACGATAATCGAAATGGCCAGGTTTCTTGGAAACAATAGTCTGTCCGGACCTCTTCCAAGCCAAAAGAGCAATCGACTTCAGACTATGTAAGTCCTCGTTTCTTAAGGGGTGTGATATCCACACACCCCTTTTTACTTCTTCCACACCTTTTAAGTTTTATACTGTCGGATCGGATGAATTGAAGAAGAAGATCAACGGACATAAATTAACAAGGGGTGTGTGAGAAGTAAAAAGGGGTGTGTGGATATCACACCCCTTTCTTAAAAGTAGTCATGTAGAATGTACTGAGTCTACTGACACTGAAACCAGTACTTTGTACGTGTGTGTGCACGTGCATGTATGTATTTGTGCATTTTGTAAGCATTCTAATCCTTTATCTTACACAAGTTCTTATAACTTTCATGCATTTTGTGTCTTTTGAATCTATTTTGTTATTTGCAGAGACTTGTCTTACAATTTTTTATCAGGAAGCTTTCCCCAGTGGGTGACCACAATATCGCAACTGTACATTTCCTTTTATCTTTCCCCTTCATTTTACAGTTTAAATCCCCAGAATATGTTCAGACAAAAAATATGACTCTGATTTGTTCTCACAGTGCTACTTGCCTATTAAGTTTTGATCTTGTACATGGAATTTTCATTTGACCGAGATATATTTCTTCACATGTTGATTGATTAATGAATTTATGCAGGAACTTAGTGGTCAACAACTTCACATTTGACAAGTCAAACATAACGTGAGTTGAAGTTTCTGTTGCCGGTTTTTCGACAAGCAATACTATCACTACTCTTCCACTATATGTTCTATCTGGATAACTAATAATTGTTCTGTGTGTTTGCAGTACTCTTCCTGGATTGAATTGCCTCCAGAGAAATTTTCCATGCAATCGAGATACCCCACGATGTAATCTGCTTTTATGTCACCCAACAATTACTGTTTTAACGCAACCTCATGTTAGAGAAGGCATTGCTTCTCTAGTTATGTATGCATATGGATATAGATTGCAAGCATGTTCTCATAAGTTCAGTAATAAGCATAACTGGTCGGAAACATGTGACTGAAAAACATTACTATGAGTCTTCAATTTGAAGTTTCATTGCTAATCATGGGTAGATTCTGGTATTACATGAAACTTACAGATGCAAACTTCTCAATCAACTGTGGTGGACCGGAAATGAAGGGACGTGATGGCATATTGTATGATGCTGAAGACTCAGCTCTTGGTCCAGCAACATTCAATGTAACCAGTATAGAGAAATGGGCTGTCAGCAATGTCGGTATGTTTTCTGAAGGAGTGAACCGATCGTTTCTGGAAAATACCCCCGAACAAGTCACCGGAACAGATGTGACCCCGGAGCTCTTCCAGACTTCAAGATTGTCCCCAGGATCACTGAGATACTATGGCCTGGGTCTTGAGAATGGACCTTACACTGTAACATTGCACTTTGCAGAGACGGATTTTGAGAAGCGCATTCAGCAAACTTGGGAAAGTCTAGGACGGCGTGTATTTGATATCTATATTCAGGTAAGGCTGCTTATGGAAAAAAAAAAATCTAACTTATTTGAAGTAAGACTCGTTGGGCAGGTTTTCGATATTTTAAGCTAGCTTAACTAAAGACAATGATTTAGGGAAAAATTAGTATTTGGTCCCTAGTTAGTAATGTTTATTGATTGAGACCTTATTAGTTTTCAGATTTTAATTAAAGTTCCTAGCATTAATTTATTGATGAATTTGCATGTCAGTTACATAACTTTTCCAAATAAAAATTAATAATTGATTTAGGGTTTTAATACTCACACCCTTATTAAACTCCTAATTAATTTTCAATTCAAAACCTTTCCAAAATAAAAATTAAAAATTAAAATTAGAATAAGTTTGTACCCATTAATTTTTTAATCTTAAATGTACCCATTCATATATTTTTCAATTTTTTCTAATCTTAAATGTACTTATTCTTAATTATATCAATTTGTTATATATAAATGTACCATTTTTTAATATAAAAAATGTACCCCTTTTCATATAAAATCCATTAAATTTTCTTCTAATCCACTTTTTAAACTTATAAAGGGCACATTCTATTTTGTTGATTTGAAAATGTATCTATGTGTAGTTTAATGCAAGAAATTTAATATGTTAATAAGCCTAATATCATTTTATTTTATTTTTGAAAAATGTACCCATGTTTTGGTACAATAATTTTTTGTTTAGTTTTGATGAACCCATGCATGTATGTATGTGTACACACACACACAATATATTAGAGAGTATACTTTATCCTTTAATGTTTTTAATCCCATAAATTATGGTTTTCATTTAAAATCTCATTAATATAAACAACTACAAATATCAATTTTTAATTTAAAATATAATAACCTACGTAAAAATATATTATTACATTAATGTCAAAGACTTTAATAAAAAACTGAAAACTACCAAGGTTTTAGTCAGAGGACATTGGTAGTTAGGGACCGCATCCAAAGTCTCTCATGATTTAAAGGAGACTAGAAGTATTACCTAGCTCTTCATTTGGTTGCTAGGGTACCCGCAGGGAAGAGGACTTTGACATATCCAAGGAGGCACATGGGGTTAACGTAGGAATTAAGAAAATATTCAATGTTAGCGTGTCAGAGAATTATCTTGAAATTCATCTATTCTGGGCTGGTAAAGGGACTTGTTGCATACCTTTACCAGGTGATTACGGCCCACTAATAGCAGCCGTCCATGCTGCTTCAGGTATAATTGTGTTAACTATTAGAGATTTCCTATGAATGGTTTAAATGTATTTTTTTGTTGTTAATTGACACTGAAGAATGCGTCTGTTTTATCTCTCAGATTTTACACCAACAGTTTCTGGGCTTCCACCAACTACTCCAGGAAAGAAGAGCAGGACTGGGTTGATAGTTGGTATTGCAGTTCCTGTTGGAGTTGTGAGCTTGTTACTAATATTGGCGATTCTATATATGAGGAGGAAAACATCAGAAAAAGAGGACAACGAAGGTAAACGACCATATTATTAGTGGTATCCAATTCAGGTTCCTCTGCTCTGACATTAACACACACAAGTACGAATACTTTCACGAAAGTAGAACTTATGTCACACTGTTTCGTGAATGTGTAGATATTCTTGGATTAGGCCCTCGACCAAATACTTTCAGTTATGCTGAGTTGAGAGTTGCAACTGAAGATTTTAATCCTTCAAATAAGTTAGGAGAGGGAGGATATGGCCCTGTTTATAAGGTGAAATCCATATTACATCAGTATCATGTACTTGAAGTAATGACAATAGAAAGGGAGAGAGAGCGAGCAAGAGAAGAAAATAAAGCTTCTCTTTTCTTTCCTTTCATGTCACTAAATTGTGTTTCTGTGTACATTGTAGGGTACACTTTCTGATGGGAGAGTAGTGGCTGTGAAGCAACTTTCAGTAGCATCTCACCAAGGGCAGAGTCAATTTGTATCTGAAATTGCTACCATATCTGCTGTGCAACATAGGAATCTAGTGAAATTGTATGGATGCTGCATCGAAGGCAGCCAGCGCATTTTGGTTTATGAGTATCTTGAAAACAAGAGCCTTGATCAGGCACTTTTTGGTACAAACCTATCTACTTTTAGGTTGCATAGAAACAACATTGTCTGTAGTTTCAAGCACTCTAAAATTGTTAAGAAATGTTTTTGATTGGACGTGTTCACTAATATTTCAGGAACAAGTAACTTGCACCTTGACTGGCCTACTCGATTCAATATATTGTTAGGAACAGCAAGAGGACTTGCTTACCTTCATGAGGAGTCAAGGCCAAGGATTGTACATCGAGATGTCAAAGCGAGTAATATTTTGCTCGATGCAGAACTCTCCCCAAAAATATCAGATTTTGGACTGGCAAAGCTTTATGATGACAAAAAAACCCACATCAGCACCCGGGTTGCAGGGACAATGTAAGCCATCCTTTATTGTTTTTCCCGAGGATACATAGATTATGGCCACACACATTTATGCTTGCATGAAATTTTAACACACATGTTAATAATGCCTCTAATGATCTCAAGCAACATTGTGCAACCATTTGATTATCTTGCATTGCAGAGGCTATTTGGCACCAGAGTATGCATTGTTTGGACATTTGACAGAGAAGGCTGATGTGTTTGGTTTTGGAGTCGTTGTTTTGGAGATCCTCAGTGGGAGACCAAACTCTTACAATAACTTGGATCCAGAAAAGATTTATCTTCTTGAATGGGTAGGAATTGCATTCGCCTAGCTTCATTTAGGCATTGTTGTGAAAAACTTATTTATACTTTCCTTTGATCGTGGCATAATGTTTTTCAGGTATGGACTCTACATGAAAATGACCAAACTCTGGGGTTGGTGGATCCGAGATTGACAGAGTTTGATGAAACCGAAGCAACTAGATTGATAAGAGCAGCTCTCCTGTGCACGCAGGGATCACCGATGGCAAGGCCATCTATGTCACGCGTGGTTGCAATGCTCTCTGGAGACATTGACACAGGCACTGTCATGTCGAAACCAAGCTATTTGACAGATTATAATTTTAAAGATGTAACAACATTTTCAACAGGTAGATTTTTGGTGGAGGATGATACCTCATCAACTGCATCCAAGGATAGTAATGTTCGCCTCAACTATCAGCCGGGAGGCAGCAATGCAAGTGGTGCTGACACTCCCTGGATTGACCCTGCGCCTTCTCCTGTAAACGTCACTCAATCACTGCTCGCTGGCATTAGAAGAGAAGGAAGGTGATAAATATCAGGTCTACATGCTCCTTTTATCCCTTTGTGCACCCTTTCCTTTTATATAATACACATTTTAATAATTAATTGTAATTGTATTTTAGCTTTGGCTTTTGGTAGTGGGCAGGGGACTGGCTTGCCAGATTTGAATATATCTTAGCAAATGGATGTATATTCTACTTATTCATACAAAATGTTTATAGATATGTTCATGAACCACCACCATTGGATGGAGATCCCACCACTAAAATTTAAGAATATGTTCAGGAATTCATATAATTTAATAAGGCATTTTTGGGTCTATGATTTGAGCCTTGATGTTGATGGTCCAGTTGCAGACTAGGGAAGAAAAGGCAAATTTTTTATTTGTCACCTTAACTTTTATTTAAATTTCAATTTGTTACCTATTTTTTTAATAATTTATGAGGGGAGAATTCCGAACCAGGACATCTGTGTGGAAACTCAATAATCTATTCACTAGAATATTAAACCACATGCAATACAAAAACAAACTCAAAATTATAAGTATATTTGTTATAGAGTGTTAACTATTCAGGTCTAGCAACCATAACATTTTCTACTTTTGGATTCAAATATGGGCTTTCCTCCCAAAAAAATTAGGCAACAATTGAAATGATTTGGAGCCTAAGTTTTTAGGAGGGGAAAGTTCATGCTTGGAGTTAAAAGGTGAACAATGTCGTGTATGTTAAGGTTGATAGTGAAAGGACTAAAACAACTTTATACAAGAGGCATTTGCAAGTGTAATACTCCGTAATTTAAAAAGTGGGTATATATATAAGTGTCGAAGTACTTTTAATTTGTGTATTATGCTAAAGTTTGATATACCAAGTTCTTTTTTTCATTAGTTAACAAATACATATATGTTTCACTTTATTTGTAGATTGATTTGTTAGGCTTTGTATTTCTCATTTGCGTGCCACTAGCAACTAAATAGTGTGCTACTCTTTTGGTTTTAGTTTGAGGTGTGATTATAACCATGGGTTTTGGAGCTTTTAATTCACCATCCGGATATCCTACCAATTTGTAGAGTTACCATATGTTTTGTTCCAACCAGCTTACCATAAGATAAACTTTAACGTGGCCTTAGACATGCATCCAGACATGCATCCATCTTACATGATATTTTTTGTTCAGGATTAGCTCAACACATGTTGCTTTGTTATTGGAACACATATCATTATTAATGATTAGTTTAACACATGTTGTCTTGCTATTCGAACACATATTATGGCTAATAATTTGCACAATACTTGGTGTCTTTCTATTGGGACACTAGGGAGCTTTTATCCTCAAGTTAGATTGCACATGTTGTGAGAAGGAAGAACTCATATGATCCCTATAAAGGAAGGAGCAAGAACTAGAAGGACACGAGGAAAAAAAGGGAGAACACCACACCAACAAGAACACACTAGCAAAAGGAATGTTCTCTTTCTCAGACCATTCCTCTTTCATCATCCATTTCTTTTACCTTCTGTAAATGCTTTAAGTCATCTTTCATTGTATTTGTAAGTCTCTCATATCTAGTGAAATACAAATGAAAGCAAACCCCAGTGGATGTAGTCACTTTGACGAACGACTCCTATACTGTGTGTTTATGTGAATGTGTGTGTTATCAAGTTCTAGTGAAACACCATTATGCAACTCCATGAAGCACCACCAAATCTCCCTCTATTTTTCAATGAGAATCCGGAGAAAGAAATCACATACAAATCCCAAAAAATGCATAAGAGCTTACCCAACAAATCTCTACACCAAACTCATCATCATTTTCTTCTACTTATCAAGAGAAAGAATTTCAAGAACCAGAAATTCGTCATATCTGTTTTGCAGATCAAATTACCATTTTCTTTAGTTCAAATTAAAAAGCCTTCTTTAAGAAAGTTGTTCGTTAACTCGTTAAATACAACATATCCAAATATGAGATTCGAAACTACATTTTCTCTTACTCATATCAAAATACTTTCTTCATAGAAATTGTTCCTTATTCTCTCTACCTTAACATATCAAAGTCTCAGAACGATCTAACTGTCCATTCATTCCAGATAATCAAAATGCTATTACAGCCTTAAAAATCCGCAGAAAACCTTATAGTCATGTTTGGAGCTTAAAAATCCAACTTACTGTGATCAAACAAAAACATTTCCTTCACAAAAATTGTTCCTTATCATCTCTTCTATAATATCCAAAAAGCTCGACAACCTAATCTGTATGTTGGCCTATACATCAGTTTGAGCAGCTTATGTACGGTTGAGCAGGCCTTCTCAGCTAGCCTCTTTAGCCTACATCTCCATTTTATGTTGCTCACCAATTCTACTCTTGTTACATATGCAAATTTTCAGCTATATTAAAGGGTGGAAGAAAAGCATAAAAGAAGGAAAGAGAAAGAGAGGTGTCGAGGGAGTTGTGAGAGGCAAGGAAAAGAAAAAAAAAGAGTGAGAGCAACAAGTGAATAAAAATGAAAACAACTGAGAGAGAGAGAGAGAGAGAGAGAGGAGTTTGTGGGAAGAAGTGTTAGTATGTAAGTTGTTGTACTGATTAGTAAACATTACAAGATTGTTATGTGTGTCATGTCTCAGCTCATAGGCTGAGCTATTGTGTAAAATTGTGATGTGTTGATTAAGTCTCATAGGGCTTATCATTTGACAAGTGTCTTGATCTTAAGATAGGTTGTAATGGTTGGTTGAGATTGAATTGAGGTTATGATTCTCTCTCACTCATCTTTGTCGTCAGATATATGTCTCTTCGGGTTGTTATGCCCATAATGCAATACAATGATAGAAGTTGAAAGGCTATGCTCTGTGTGTGCTCTCTCTCTCTGATTTCATCTTCTAAATCTTACAATCTTTCTCTCAAATCCTGTTAGACTTAGTTATATTAGTTGTATTGCTGGATTCCAACATGGTATCAGAGCCCACGGTTGCGGGCCCGTGCAAGCCAACGAGCTTGTGTGTGCAAGCCAATGAGCTTGTCACCACCCGGAAGGAAACAAGTCTGAGCTCTTAATATAGAGATGACCGCTGAGTTCCATTGAAAACAAGTGGGCCCAACGTGAGCCGACCTCTGAGTTTCAATTACCGATGTGGATCTCCACGTGTGAACCACTAAATGAGGTTACACGTGAGGGGGAGTGTTAAAATTGTCCCACATCGGTGGGGTGAAGAAAACCAAAGGGGTTTAAATATTTGAAGGTGTTTGGTTCAGTTTGCTATTCTCTTATTCCAGGGAATCTAAGACACAAATTAGAAGAAACAAGTGTCATGGGTGTTTTCATTGGATATGGAACCTGTGAAAAGGGGTATAGAGTACTGAATCCCTTAACTCAAAAGGTCTTGTTGTCTAGAGATGTAATTTTTGATGAACATGGTAGATGGGATTGGGAGAAACACAAAGTCAAGGAAGTCTGTATTCCTTTATCTGCAATTGAGTCTTCAGAGGTGGATAAAATTGATGAGATGTCTGAATCTCATGAACAAGAAGGATCTGATGGGTCTCAAATTCAAGCTGGAAGTTCTACAGTTACTGCTATTGGTGAATCAAGTAGTTCACGGGTCTCTGCTCAGTATGATGATACTCCACTGAGGTATAGGAATTTGAGTGAGATCTATGAGAGATGTCACTTATGTATTGTTGAACCTGAATCCTTTGATGAAGTTGCACATGATGAAGCTTGGAAAAAGGCAATGAAGGATGAAATGAATATGATTGAAAAAAATCAGACATGGGAGTTGGTGAGAAGACCCTCAAATAAGCATGTGATTGGAGTGAAATGGGTGTATAAAACAAAGCTGAATTTGGATGGAACAGTTCAAAAGAACAAGGCTAGACTTGTTGCAAAAGGCTATGCACAAAAGCCTGGAATTGATTTTAATGAGACTTTTGCACCTGTTGCAAGATTAAACACAGTTAGAACTCTAATTGCACTGGCAGCAAAGAATAAATGGAAGTTATTTCAACTAGATGTGAAATCAGCTTTTCTGAATGGAGTATTAGAAGAGGAAGTATATGTTGAACAGCCAGATGGGTTTGTAGTGCAAGGAGAGGAAGAAAAGGTTTACAGATTACATAAAGCTTTGTATGGTCTAAAACAGGCACCTAGGGCCTGGTATGGTGAAATAGACTCATATCTTATGCTTTGTGGATTTAAGAAAAGTATCAGTGAGGCAACTCTGTACACCAAATACAAGGGAGACACAGAATTGATCATAGTATCCATCTATGTTGATGATATTATATATACTGGAAATTGTCAAGAGTTAATGGATGTTTTCAAAGCTGAGATGATGTCTAAGTATGAGATGACTGATCTTGGTCTCTTACACCATTTCCTTGGTATGGGGGTAATCCAAACTGAGGAGTGTATCTTCATTCATCAGAGAAATTATGCCTTATCTCTTCTGAAGAAGTTCGGACTACAGAATTGCAAATCAGTGAGTACTCCTTTGGTTCCAAGTGACAAACTGAGAAGAGAAGATGGAAGTGGAAATGCAGATGAAGCTCAGTATAGACAGATTGTAGGTAGTCTGTTGTATCTCACAGCAACTAGACCTGATATAATGTATGCTGCTTGTCTCTTAGCTCGGTTTATGCATTGTCCAACTAACAAGCACTATGGAACAGCAAAGAGAGTATTGAGATATGTTCAAGGAACCCTTGATTTTGGTTTGGAATACAAGAAAGGTGAAGGAACACTCTTAATGGGATACTGTGATAGTGACTGGAGTGGTTCAGAGGATGACATGAAAAGCACATCCGGGTATGCTTTTACTTTTGGAAATGGGATTTTCTCTTGGTCTTCAGTCAAGCAACAATGTGTTGCATTATCCACAGCCGAAGCAGAGTATATTAGTGCTTCTGAAGCAACAGCACAGGCTACTTGGTTGAGATTTGTCCTAGAGGATTTTGGTGAAATGCAAACGGTTGCAACACCAATGAATTGTGACAATACATCTGCCATAGCCATCACCAAGAATCCCATCTTTCATCAGAAGACCAAGCATATAAACCGAAGATATCACTTCATAAAGGAAGCATTACAGCAAGGAGTAATTGATTTGATTCACTGTCCTACAAAGGAGCAACTGGCAGATATCTTTACAAAAGCATTGGCAAGGGAGCAGTTCACTTACTTGAGAAATCTACTTGGAGTGAAATCAGTTCACAACTTAAAGGAGAGTGTTAGTATGTATGTTGTACTGATTAGTAAACATTACAAGATTGTTATGTGTGTCATGTCTCAGCTCATAGGCTGAGCTATTGTGTAAAATTGTGATGTGTTGATTAAGTCTCATAGGGCTTATCATTTGACAAGTGTCTTGATCTTAAGATAGGTTGTAATGGTTGGTTGAGATTGAATTGAGGTTATGATTCTCTCTCACTCATCTTTGTCGTCAGATATATGTCTCTTCGGGTTGTTATGCCCATAATGCAATACAATGATAGAAGTTGAAAGGCTATGCTCTGTGTGTGCTCTCTCTCTCTGATTTCATCTTCTAAATCTTACAATCTTTCTCTCAAATCCTGTTAGACTTAGTTATATTGCTGGATTCCAACAAGAAGGGGATGTTTGTGGGAAGTGAAGGTGTGAGAATAGCCCCTACCGGAAGGGAAAGAACTGGAAGAAAAGAAGGAAAATAAAGAGGTTTTGGAAGGTTGGGAGAGAGTTGAAAAGAAAGTGGTGAGAGGGAGTCGGTTAATGAGAAAAAAAATGTGGGTTGGTGTGGGTAAAGGGGTTTTGAAATAATGGAAGTTTGAGGACAACAAAATGCTAGGATAATCTTTTACCTACTTAGCTTTAATTCTTGCTGTTATCATTTTATTTAACGTGACTGACGCTTTATGTGTTTGGATTGCTGAATAAATTATTGTTTTACACTTTACATTTGCATGATTATAGCATGAGAATATTGGCTTTGATATGTTGCTTTATATATGCATAAGCATTTGACAAAGAGTTGAAAGATCTCATCTATAAATATCCAAGCTAGGGTTCCTTCCAAGGAGATATAACGCATATCTGATATCTCATCTAATGCATACATGCTCAAACACATCTCTACATGCTCATCCAACTCATGCATGGAATTACACGCAATTTGATTCTCCCTCTTTGACAAGGAGATATGTAGGCAATCATTTTTTAATTTAGTTACATCCCCCAAACAATTCTCCTATTTATCGGTGTTCAAGATATTCCAACGATTATTTGTATATCAACGATTGTGCGCGAATTTGGTCCCAACAGTAGGAATAGTAATGTGTTTCTACAATGTAAGATGTAATTCATGCCGTTTGTGTTTACCACACGGTTTTGTTTACCAAAAAAGAACCACATGATTTTTAGATTGGGCTGAGTATTTCTGGTTTCTTGATTAATTTTTCCTACTATTTTGGGGCTAGCCCTGTTGATTTTGGACTGTTAGTCTGTTATTACCTTTTTTTTCATTAAAAAAAAAAATTGAAACTAGAATCAAATCTAATGTCTAACATCTAACTTACACTTACTAACTCTATTGCTTGATTCAAAGAACCAAAACTGGTCTGATTTAATTTGATTTGAACAAAGAGAACAGCATGGTTGGGTTC